AATCAACCCCTTCAATTTGGGACAGTAATTTTGGGATAGGGAGCGTTCAAGTATTACGTAACGCAATTTTTGGAGATATTTAACCCCCCCTCCCCACATGTAACGCGCTGTAACGTTTTTCTGTACCCCCCCTAGTAAAACGTTACGTAACCACCAAGTGACTATTTTTACCTAAAAATCACAATTATGTGGCGTAAAGTACCGGAAAGTCCGAAGGGTTAAAAAATAATTATTATACAAGCCCCCTCCCACCCCTGTAACGCATCGTAACGTTTCACAAAACCCCCCTCCCCCCAAATTCGTTATGTAATACTTGAACGCTCCCATACCCAGTATATACAAGTGTTACAGAAAAATTCTTCATCAGGATAGAGGAACTACGATAAGTCAAATTTTTCAACTTATTTTTGCACAATTGTTTAACCAACACTGGATTCCAACTTCTAGGAGTTCAAAATTTGAAAGTCTTGGCAGGATACAATCAAAAACAAATGTCACATGCAATCTGGTCATAAACAAACATGTCCATTTTTAAAAGTTGATTTTTTGAATACTGAAATTATTTTGATCATGATGGCTTATTCAGGCGTGCTAGGAAGCCTAAGAGGATATAGAAACAAGCTTTATATTGCAAGAATTTAATGTACTTAATTTAAAAACAGTTTTTTTGCTCCTGAAAATTTTTATTAGAGGGACATATTTGGTTTTGACAGAATGCTCCTGAACTGAAAAAAAATTAATACATTTTTGTTTAGCATGAAAATGTTATTTAAGACCTTTATCATCATTGTTAATTTTATATCTCTAAGGTAAATTTATGTTAAAGAAATTGTGAGATTACAAATTATAATTAGTGAAAAGTAGCATTATGTGTAAATGTAAATGAAATATAAATGTAAATTTTGAAAATAGTCCACACAAGCTCATAGAGCTTAGGGACTGTTCTGTGATGACGATTTTATTTTTAAATAAACTTATTCTTATTCTTATCCATCAATTATAAAAATATAAAATTCAAAATTTTAAAAATGTGACTTACCTACCGTAGTTTCTCTATCCTGATAAAGATCAATAGGTAAATAATTTGTTATGTACTGGGTGTCCCAAAATCATCTCTAAATTAAAGGGGTCAATTCCTTGCCAAATTCATATTTACCTTTAAATAAAGCCAATTCAGAGTGCACTCTTTTAACATTGATTTGGCAAAGGAAAATGTCTTAGAAAACTGTTTTGCATTAAAAAACACAAAAACCTGCTACAAATACAGCTGTAATTTTGATATAACAATTAACGGCCCATTTTAGTCACGTAGGTAGTCTGAAACAAAATAAAATTATTAAATAGGTAGGTACTTAGTTAATAAAAGGACTAATTAGTTAAGTATCTTACCAATCGACATGTAGAATGAATTACAATATTGTATCAAGTATTGTCTGACCATAAACAAACAGGAACTTTGGCTTTTGTTACACAATCTACAAATTTACTTGATAATAAGAAACTTAATCTCACTAAATTAATATTTAAATCATACCTCATATTTTGTAGCCAATGTACCACAGAGAACAGCGATATTTATTTATTACATGTAGTTTAACAACCAGATAATAAATCATTACAAATCTTAGGTTTTGTCTAGGGGTTTTGCACCAGTATCTTACCAATCAACATGTAGAATTAATTACAATATTGTATCAAGTATTGTCTGACCATAAACAAACAGAAACTTTGGCTTTTGTTACACAATCTACAAATAAACCTGATAATAATTAAAGAAACATAACCTCACTAAATTAATATTTAAATCATACCTCATGTTTTGTAGCCAATGTACCACAGAGAACAGCGTAATTTATTTATTACATGTAGTTTAACAACCAGATAATAAATCATTACAAATCTTACGTTTTGTCTAGGGGTTTTGCACCAGTATCTTTTGGGGTTTTGCACCAGTATCTTACCAATCAACATGTAGAATTAATTACAATCATGATTACAATCTATGATTACAATATTGTATCAAGTATTGTCTGACCATAAACAAACAGAAACTTTGGCTATTGTTACATAATCTACAAATAAACCTGATAATAATTAAAGAAACATAACCTCACAAAATTAATATTTAAATCATACCTCATATTTTGTAGCCAATGTACCACAGAGAACAGCGTAATTTATTTATTACATGTAGTTTAACAACCAGATAATAAATCATTACAAATCTTAGGTTTTGTCTAGGGGTTTTGCACCATTTCGTATTAACGAACACAAAAACAATGATTTTGACATAAACTTAAAAATACACATGTACATATTCAACACAACCATAGAAATAACAGTGTTATTTCTATGAACACAACCTTAGAAGAAAAGAACAGAACATGTAAACAACAAAGACGGCTGCCACCATTCGCAATGCGATGTTGCCATGATTACCGGATCTCACGATGATCGTAATCTTAAAATTTTTAAAGCGACCTCTATGAACCAACTATTAAACCCAATTTGTATAAAAATTGAAATAAACCTTACATTTTGAGCTCCGGTCAAATTTTTGCATTTATACGTTTAAGATAGTAGCTATTCAAATGCACTAGGAAATACAGTCAAAACATGTCGAGGTCCGTTTTTGGATCTCTCCTTGAAAATCGGATCTCGAGACGTTGATGTTTTAACACAAATGGATCCCGGCTTGTGTGATAAACATATATATATATATATATATATATATATATATATATAAATGTTAGGTATATTAAAACCATCTAACCTTATATTAAATACCAACACTAAACAACCGGATATAACGACCACCCGGTTATAACGAACTATTCATATTTAGATTTTTGGTATATTAAAACAATATAGATTTAAGGTATATTATAATAAACTAACCTTATATTGAACACAAAACAACAACCGGATATAACGACCATCCGTTCATATTTAGATTTTAGGTATATTAAAACAATCTGTCATTATAATAAACACTAAACAACCGTATATAACGAGCACCCGGTTATATAGATTGTAGCCTACATATAATATAAGGTTAGTTTATTTTAATATAGGTACCTACAATTTGTAGGTATATTAAAATAAACTAACCGTAGTTAGTTTAAGTTGACTTTAGATTTTATATATTTCTATATTGAACATACATACATGTAAATATTTTAGTATGTTCAAAACAAAAGTCTATAAATTCTAAAATCAACAAAAACGAATTTTGACTCGATATTAAACACTAGCTAAAAATGATGACAATTGTCATTGTCGTGGTAAGTTTCTCCACATTAATAGCAGGGGCGAAACGGTTGGACGAACAGGGGTAAAAAATCTTATTGTCCCATATAGAGCTATAATGGAGCAATCCTGTAAAATTTGGTGTAAATACGTGTTATAGTTTTTGAGAAAAATGAGCAGACAGTTTTGGGACGGACAGACAGACAGACATTTTGTTTTTTTTTGCTTTTTTGGGTAAGTCATGAAACGTGAAAATGTAAAGAAAACTGGGAGGGTTAAATTTTCATGATTACCATAAGTTTCCCTTGTGGGGAAACTTAAAAACACCGGAAGCATTTATAAATAATTTTTTAGTTATCTAAAACAAACTCTATACAAATGTTAAACCTTATAGTTTTAATAATTGTAAGTTATTTATATCTAAATATTTTAATATGTTTAAAATAAAAATAGTTAATTTTATCTATAAATATTGAATTTTTAATAATTAAAATATTTCCTATAATAAAAATATTTTATTCCACAGTGCAACATATTCGGCCATTTTAATTTACTAAAATAATAGTAATTGATAAAACCAAAACTGTCAATAATAAAACCATTAGACTTTATTTCCTATCTGAGAAGAGCAACTCTACTTAGTTAAAACCATTTTTCTTTAATAAGGACTTAAAAAGGTTTTTATTTAAATTTCATATATCTTCATAAAACCTTTTTAAGTCAAAGGGGTTTTATTTACTATTGTTAGAGCCAGAGATGGTTGGATTAAGCTCATAGAGTATAGTTAACTATAGTTAAATTAAATAGGTATTTAAGATGGTTTTTAAAATAGTTCAAATTTGTGAAGATGGACAATTGTGCTTGTCTATCGTTCCGAGTGAATGGGAAGAGCGTGGAATGTTGTTCTGGCCAAAGAACAAAGTTTTGGTCGCAAAACTTAAAAAAATAGAAACCTCTATTTTCTATAAAAATGTCCACTTCTTGTTTTACGAAGAAATTCGTCTATGAATGTAGACATTTTACAATACGTACGTACGACACTACGACAATCGTGGAACTAATAGTTTATAAATTATAGTTCCAGCTGTTTAAAGACTTATAAGGGTTTTATTCAAAAAAAAAAAAAATTATTAGGTATTTAAAAATTTAAAAGCAAGAGCATTATAAGACAGAGCTTTAATAAGGGTTCCTTAAAAGCAAGATAGTTTTAAAAGTACCTTGCTTAAGCTGACTACAAGAACGCTTTAAAACTAAAATCATAAAACAAAGTTGCTTTTATTTGTCAATCATAAAACAATAATAAAACAATACTGCTTTTAGAAGTATCTTAATTTAACCTTATTAAGGTTAAACTTAAGTCCAAATAAAGTCATTTTAAAGAGTAAATACTCTTGAAAGCCATAAGGTTTTAAATAGGAGTTCTTAAAGATAGCTATAAAACCTTTTTTTTTAACCATCTTCTTCCAAGTATAATTGGCATTTATGAGAACCTTTTTAAAACTGTTTGCATTATTTCCGCTATAATAAAACCTTTTTAAAACCAATTCAAGTCAATTTTGCATTTAAAATGTTACTTGGGAAGCTTTGTTTTGTAATTCACAGCGCCACAATATTTCAGTCATTTACTTGACTTTTTCAATTTGACAAACCCCTTATATACATTTTATATGATGAACTTATTTCAATAGTTACTATATTAATTTCGAAAGTATGCCTGGAAAGTGTAAAGCTCTGTAAAATGACTTATTCAGCTATTGATGAAATTTTTAAAAAACCAGAAAACCTACGAGACTTAAATACTATTGATATTGGTTCTGCGGCAAAAAGTTTAATTACACAGGCAAGATTTACTGAAAAAGATCGTGTGTTATTTTATAAAGGAGCACAGCAACACTTTGTAGCAGCTGTAAAACACCTCGTAACCAAATCCTCATTAAAAACTGGATCATTCTTAAAACACTGCCGTTGCTTAAATCCATTAAAAGTGCAATCACACGAACCAAGATCTATTTTAAAGATCGCTGAAAAATTGCCTTTAACGGTAAATAGTACACTTTTGAGCAACGAATGGATTTTAATGAAAAGTTTTGAAGATTTTACAACGTTACTTGATGAAAGCAAACCAAAAACTGATATTTTGTTTAATTTTTGGAACTCAGTATTTAAAAGAATTAATGAAATTGATAATTCTCCGAAATATCCCAATCTAACAAAGGTGGTCAAATCGGCTTTGTCGTTGTCTCATGGAAATGCTGGGGTCGAACGCGGCTTTTCGAGATCTAAACTAATTTTAAGCGAAGATAAAACCGCCATGACATTACGCACCCTAAACGCTCGCCTAGATGTTGCATCAGCTCTTGCCAAATATCAAAATAAACCTCACTTAGTGCCAATCGCCAAAGAATTATTAGAAATGGCCCGAATGGCTCACAAAAGTTACCAGATGTATCTAACAGTAAAAAAGGAAAAAGACAAAAAGCAAGCGGACCAAATTCGATTGGAAGAAGAAAGACTGGAAATGGAACGACAACGTGCAAAAAAAGCAAAGGCCGAAAAAAGGAGTATTGAAACCTTGGAAACTGAGTTACAAGTCAAAAGAAAATCAGTAAGGGAGAGTAGTTTGGCTGGGGAGGAATTAGTAAAACAGGCAAACAAAAGACTGGAGGAGGCCCTTTGTAACAACAATTTACATGAAGTAAGAATAGCCCAAGTTATGTTAGAAGGATACAGGCAAATAAAACAGAAAAAAAAGAATGACGTTAAAGATCTTCAAAAAATTGAGAAGAACTTGAGTCTCAAAAGAACCAAGTTAATGAAAAAAATTGACATTTCAAAAAAATTAAAACGTGACGTGGTGTGATTATGAAGTGATTAGGTACCCATATTTGTATTGGGATTTTTTATTTATTTCTATTAACGTTTTAGAGAATTTATTTTTGTTATTGTTTCACTTATAATTTATTTTACTAAGAATAAATAGTAATGACTGAGAATACGTTTTGTTTATATACCTAGTATTAAATTAAAATTTTTAAAATAGCTGTCTTACTTGTAGACCTTGTAACAAACAATTATTGCGTGTGAAGGGCTGGTTGGTGCCCTAGGTGCCTACTGATTTTTGAATCAAAAATTGCGTCGTTGATTTTTGAATTAAAAATTTTGATCAGATTTTAGTCAGATTTTGGTAAGATTTTTTTTTAAAAGTAGTCAGTTAATCAGATTTTTTTTTAAATATTTTACTTGAAGGCTTGTAAATGTTTAAAATGTGCAATCAGAGTAAAATTTAGCACAGGTATGTATACAGTCCCACATACTCTATTTCTGCGAAGGATATACCACACGTTTTTTATTATCCGTCTTTTATTTTGTCGTTATTTATATTCACTGCGCGTTGCTTGTGGATACACTTGTGTTTTTCTCCTTAGCTGTTAACTTTAAGAATTTTATTCGTACGCGAATGATTTTAAAAAATCATATTTTTAAATTGGTATACTTACTCTGCCGTCCTAAGCGTAAAGGTCGTATCTGCAATATTTTGTAGTAAAGGACAGAAGAAAATTTTAATTTTAAAAAACAATGAAAAACGGCTTTTTCGCTTAACTACCAAATATTGCAGATATAACGTTTTGTCCTAGAATCCTGCGAAGATAAAATTTAAAGAATTAAGGAATTTATATAAACTGCGCACCACTCAATGTGTCGCGACCAAAAATTTCGTCCTTTTTCAAAACGACATAACTTTTTTGTTTCTTGAACGATTTTATTTTGGTTTGTGATGTCTGCTAGCCCCATTCTCTGGAAATTCATGCTATAGATATGAAGCTCACGGTTCTTCAAGTAAATTTACTACAGGGTGATATGTAAAATTTCAATAACTTCATCCAAGCCCCGTTTGTAAAATAAATATTTTTTTCTCGTTTTTACTTTGAAATAATGAAGTATTATGTCTTACCTTGAAACGTTTTTCAAATTTTTCGAATTGGAATCTTAGCAACAAAAATATGATTTTTTTTTCAATGGAGTACATTTGATGCTTGTTTGTAGGCAATACACTCAGCCTTTTTAAGAACAAAAAGATAAGATGGTGAAAGATTGTTCCTTGAATAATTCTGAACAAGCGACAAGCAATAAACTTCCATTATTTTCAGAGGAACCTAACCAAAGACCACTTTTTCAAAATGACATTTTGGTGAAAATTTTCGAAAACTAAACCTGAACCGATATTTACTTTCGTGACTGTTTGCTTTAAAATTTTGACCTCCTGATGTGATTCAGTTGTCAAATTTAAGTTTTAGATAAAACCAAAATCACCAAGAATCAAAATTCGAAAACAATTCCCCAAAATTTGTTTGTTTATTTTTGAAAATTTTATGCGAAGATATAATCATAATAAAAACTGCAACATTCAACAGAAAAATGTAACAAATAATAACAATAATATCTTTCAATATTTCGTTGGCCCTCCCCTAACCCGTAATAATTCATAAACCCTCCTGGGCATTCCCTAGACCAAGTTCCTTAGATTGTAAGCATAAACAAGTTATTAATATAAATCACAAACAAAATTGGGCCCAATATTGTTCCTTGTGGAACCCCAATGCTTGGTGTAAGTGGATCACTTAGAACGTTATCAATTTTGACAAACTGGATCCTGTCCTCGAGGTAGGTTTCCATCAGGCTCAACATTTTTCCCCTTATACCAAGATTTTCCAAATTTTGCAAAAGTTTCTTGTGACAGACAGTATCGAAAGCCTTTGCTAAATCTAGAAAAACAGCTATCACTGGAATACTTTTGTCAACAGCTTCATATATTCTTGCCACCAAATCAGCAATAGCATGTTGGGTTGATTTTCCTTTTTGAAAACCGAACTGTCTGTCTGAAATTATATTATTTTTTTTTAATAAAGCCTTCCAGTCTACTTTTTACTATATTTTCAAAAATCTTGGTAAAAGTACTTATAAGCGAGATTGGCCTAAAATTAACAGGATCAAGTCTGTTACCTTTTTTATGTATTGGGACAATAAGTGACCCCGGCAAACAATGTTTGGGTTAGAATTGGCCAAAGATTTACTAAACAGATTAAATTTGATTGGCCAAATATTGCAAGTACGTGCGTCCGCAACTACCATCAAACTTTGCCCAATTTCGTTGAGCAACAGTGTTGCCAGATGAGAAAAGTTATACGATACAAATCTAGTTCCGTACAATTCTGAACATTCTATGAAATCTACAAGTGTTTCTTCAGCAAAATGCATATCCTCCTCAGTGTTTTTTTTGCTCAAGCAACGTAATGAAGCGTGAAATAGTAAAAAATGAACGTAACTGCGGTACGGAATTATACCAAGAAAAACAACTATAGCAGTATACAAAAGTAGAGTTCTAAGTTCTGTGGCCTTGTATGTTCCTAAATAATCAAGTGAGGCTGGTAGGCGTGAGAACTCACGAGGACAAAATTTAGCAACTGAAATTAATCTAGCTGATACGATTTTTACTAGTCTTGGCAATAGCTTTGTACCAGATTTATGCTTTCCATCCACCAATGCTTTCAACCACCTTTTCATAACTCCCAAAAGAGTTAAATGCATATATTCAAAAACAGTGTCTTTAACAATATTATCAAAAATTTTTATTAAAATAGTCCCATTTTCTTTAAAATGTCCATCGTCTTCATCCCTATCAACGTATTCTTTTAGCGTTCTTGGATCATTGTGTAAATTCGTATAAACAAGTTTTCCTTTTGACCCCGTAATTCCTGATACTTTACATCTAGAGCAAGGGGAAGTACTCATGTGTCCTTTATGATTTAAAGCACTTGCCCTTGCAGGAGCATCCGCAATGAATGCACGAAAATAAACTTTAATTACATGTCCTTTGAACAAAATTCCTTCCCTTAAAATTATCTTGGCTTCATTAATAAAATCTTGAAAAAATACATTAAAATCATTCGGTTTAGAAAGGCCTTTGTATACACCAAGAACTTTAGGTTTATAATTATCAATATTGGCAATAGCGCATTGAATAGGCCAAAAATCAATCTATCCTTTCCCAATACGAGCACCGTCGGTGCTTATGTCGACTTCGATTTTCTGTGGTGGTAAATTTTGATTTTTTTCATGCAATATTTCCAATAACGTTTCCTTTAATCCTAAATGTAAATAATCCCCAGGGGGAACAAGTCGCAAAGGAGGGCATGCTCGCGTAATGCTCATTAACGTTCGAGGATCCAAAGGTAATTTTTCAAAACAATTATGAGACTTGAGTAGTTTTAATATATTTTTCTTTTGTTCAATCAATAAATCGTTTTCAACAAAAAATATTTTTAAATGGGCAATAAAATTTTTATATTTATCGCAATTATCATATATATCAGAACAACTTTTCATAATAGATTCGTCAGATAAACTAGAAGATGTTGAAACAGTTCTTAAATCATCACATTGATAGTTTTCTCTTAAACCGTAATTATTTTCAAAAATTAAATTGGAGCTTGTAGATGGCACTGATACAATCTTACTTTTTAAGTGAGGTTTACTATCTACAGCCAACTTCTTGAAATTATTCTGAATGTCTTTCCTGACTCGCCTTTTATGTCTAATACTGAGTTCATCATAAGATTTTCTGCGTTTCACTGCCACTCTCCAATTGCCATTTCTAAGTGTCTTAATTATAATTTTTCTTGTTTTTATTTTTAATAAATTAAATCATGTAAAACTATGCTTTTGCAAATGAAGGTTGTTGATATTGGGTTCAATCTATAAAATAAAAGTATACATTTGAAAACTAAACAATATACTAATTGAATTTCGAACAAACTGGCAAATGAGCGAACATTATAAAATCGAAGATACCTTGCCTCTAAGTAGGTCGAAAGTTGCTTTGTTTAGCCGCTAGGGGGCTTTAAAGTGCGCAAAAAAATATTTGTAAATAACTTGAATGCTTTATAACATTTATTAGGGTAGATTTAGAGATTCTTTGGATCAAAATAGGTCAATTTGACTCTTACATACACACAGTTGCTTTAGTTAGTCACTAGAGCTCTCTAAAAGATAAACAAAACAACATTAAATATAGGTCAGTTTAGTCAAATCAACTTGCCAGGGAATCATTGATTTTATAATATACATTTTTGGGAAAATAATGTTAATATTTTTTCATAAACTGCCAAAAATGTCAAGATAAACTTTAATAAATTATTAATTGCACAGGGGGAAGGCAGGAGGCTGGCGAGGCTAGCCAAAACTTCAATTTAAAGTTTGCTTGCGCCAAAGTTATTTATTTAATGTTAATATAAATCCCCATAAATTTAGAGTTGGTCCCATGTTTAATAACTGAAATATCTTGGAAATGAAGCAAGATCAAAAACATATTATTAGAAAATTCTACTTTTAAAGTATTCTTCCTAAAACACCCTGTACAAACTATAAGAAATAAGAAGTAAATTCTGGCCATAGATGGCTTTGATACTGGCACACAAGTATGAGAGAGACAAAACAATATCAATAACACGTATTAAATACAGGTACTGACATTGCCCATTCTCTCTCCAAATTGGACAATTTTGTAAGTGTACTCTCAAGTCCATCTTTGTATGTCTTTGGGCACACAAGTGTGAGCGAATTATTTCTATGCGGCAAACCGACGATTTCTTTTTAGAATGGTCAATTTTGTCTACTGCTCAGTCCTAGAAATCATAGTGAAGAAGGATTTATGTTATAAATAAACATATCTGCTTTTGCATAAACCCCTTCATTTGTTTTATTACACTGGAAAAAGGGTAGTTATGTCAACACAGATATGCCAAATAACCAACTCTGTGTTAACGGAAACTTGCATGCGGAGGAGATTCCACTCGGCTGACT